GGTCGTGTTCTACAAACGTCTGCGTGCTGCATTTGGGGGGCATTCTGTCCGGCATGCCGCCGGGCCACGCGGGGGGGCGGGGGAGTGTCTGGGAGTTGAAGTCCACTCATCTTAAAGTGGCCAAGTTTGGACAACACTGTCCTAAACTTAGATAGGTGCCTTCTGCTAAGAGGGAGATGCTGACCCATCGCTAATTCTGAAGTGAGATTCAGCAGCTAGTCCAACTGTTTCTGTAGATGGAACGATAGGGTTCCATTTTATATCTTGGGTGCCAGCTTTCTTGCTGCTAGAGCTTTTCAGAAGGGGAAGCAGAGTTAGTTAACATCTAGTGGTACTTCCTACAAAAACCCAGTAAAAGAAGTCAGGATTCTTATCCTTCATACTGCAGAAGGGAGATGGGTGGGCAGGTTCACCTGAGATGGACCTCCCTGGCTCATCCCTTTACCCAGAAATGGAGCAGACTGGCAGCTGATGGTGCTTTCAATGCTGAAAATGATGGTGCATTTTCCACTGCACCAAAGGGCAGCAGGATAGCTGAGGAGCGAGAACAGGGCAGGTTGTATGCACCATCACCAGCTCAACCCTCTGATCCTGTAACCCAGCACCTGCCTTAGTCTCTGTGAGGGCAGGTCCAACCTATTTACATAAAGAACCAAAGCTGAGAGAAAATGGCTTGGCTAAAGCTGAGTGTGTTCCTGGCAAGGGTGAGGTTCAACCAGAAAATAATTCATTCTGTTTGCCATTGCCCTTCATCAGTTTCATAGAATGAACAAGCAAGGTTATTTTATGTGGCAGGCCTCGGAACAAGGTAGATGATTGATTTATAACCAGCAACTCCAGGGCCCTCTCAAAGACTTTGCCATGCTGTAATAAGAACAGGGCCTGTCTCAGCATGAACATCCCTTACAGAGCCCACTTAATCCAAACATGCTGCCTGTATGTAGCAGACCTGTGGTTGAGCCACAACAGACGTGGTCCCAGAGCCCTGCTGTTGTATCTGTCACCATCATGCCCGAAACCCAGAACAATCAACAGGACTTGAACTATGGGCTGTGGTGGGTAACTGCCCCGGAAGGCACCTGCCTCCCTGGAGAGGTCCCACGGAGGACTCAGGCCGAACTTCCCACCAGAAACCCTCTTGCCAGGGTGCCACACAACCCACCTAGTTCCATGGAAGACCCAAGTCCCAGACATCTTCACTAGTCACATCTCCCTTATGGTCCATGCGTGGATGTCCACAGCCCTAAGCAAACACATAGGTGCATGCCTCCTTACCCATTCAGGCCCACACTCATGTTCAGAGAAACCAGAGTGATGACTGGAGCGTTGCCTTTTATAGCCAGGCTGCTGCCGCCCAAAGGAATGAATTGTCCTTTGGCCAAGGCTCTTGCTGCCTCTTTATGCGCCCCCCTCCCTTTCACATGTACCCATGAGCTACGTTTTCATAGTTGAAGAAAAGGACGGCGAGGCAACTGTGGTGAGGACAGCAGCAGGGTATCTATAGCAGGGGACATGGAGTGCACACCCCAGGCATTAAGCTCCCCTCCAACCCAAGCGCTCTTGTCCCCTTCCCCACAATGTGCTTGGGGATGGGGAATCCATCCGTGTTCTAGTCCCTTCTCTGTATGGCATGCTGGGTATTTTAAGCCCTTCTGGGAAATCCTTTCCCCCAGTGGCTGGCAAGTAATTAGATCCCGGAATCCCCGAGAACAGAGAGTGTAGGGGGAACCCAGCAAGGTCACAGGATATATTTTTTTGGGGGGGGGGAGAAGGCTTGCAAAAGCAGAGGAGGAGGCAGAGGGACCCCCCACATGATGGTACGATGTGCCTGCATAGCTACTTGTACACATGTACCCCTGTACAAAAACACTCTCCACAGCGACAACAGAAACCATCCGGGCAATCGTTCTGCATTTTGGCAATATAGAAACATGCAAGGGTGTGACTCTATGATGACAGCCACACCAAATTGATGCATCCATCATGGGCAGACAAGCTGCTTTGATTGGCTGCCTAGGGTCCACATGGCTAAACTGCCCATGAGGGTGGTTCTGCACACGTAACATTCACCAGCACCACAGGGTATTTAAACCTATACCATAATGCCATTGAGAAAATCTATAACCTACAAACTGCCTTTTTTTAAAGGTACAATTAGCCATCTCAGTTCAGAAATCTATTTGGGAATATGAGAGTTTGAAATCATTTGCACCAGTGTTTGCTGACACAAAATTTGCTGCTATTCAGGACATACACAAACAGTTGTGAACTGTTAGGTCTGCATCTGTTTCTGTTAGGTACAACATAACACAGCCACAGGAACCCATTTCCATGACCATAAATAACATTAAAATAGAAGCTGTTACCCTGTTAGATATGACTGCAAACTTATCTAACAGAGTAACAGCTTTGTTTTCTGTAGCAGCTGACTCACAGAGAAGAAATTATTTTGCACTAGCGAATCTCCAAGGTATTTGGTTTGACACTATAGGTAGAAAGAATTCTTGGCAAAAAAGCAGATTATTAGTTTGATCCCAACAAAGCAATTCTTTTAATCTGACAGTCACTATTTGCTGTCCCGCAAGGATCCATTTGCAGTTATGCTTTCAGAGATAAGAAGCACACACATTCCACTTTTCCTCCAAGTTGCTGGTGGTAGCATACCTGGAGATTATCTCTTTTTATCCTCACAACCTGTCTGTGAATTATGTTGAGGCTAAAACTGATTCAGTATCAATGGAACATTTCCTTGTGGTCCTGGGTCTTCCCAGTTCAAGTTGGGAATACAGCTGATTGCTTTGGGCACCAGTATCATGAGCTGAGCACCAATATGATCTAGGAGTAATTTCTTTTCCCTTGGTAACAATCCATTCCTGGGACAGCCAAAATGTTTACTCAAGCTATCAGAGTGCATAGTTAAAATTACTTGTAAGTAAGTCATTGCATTTTTCATAATCACCCCTTTTAGCATTAAACAGCAGCTAGTCAACCTTCTCAGAAATACAGCTTAGTTCAATTTGAATGGAAGACTAGAAGGAAATCCCAGGGTTAGCAGCGGCAAACCAATTCCACTTTGTTGCCAAGAAAACTGCATGGAAACCTCCATGATATTATCAGGAGTTGATGTCATCTTGAGGAAGACCTTCGTTTACTTTAACAATGTTACTTAACTGTTAAAGAAGCATTCCTGCTGCTCTTCTTTTTCATAGGAAAGCCCCTTTTGAGATGGAACTTGTTACAATACCTTCCTTTCCAATCTTGAAAAGAAGGAAGGAAACCTAGATTTAATCCAGTCTTCCTGAGAAATGCACCCTCCACCGTGTACCGGTCCCACTGGGGAAGGTCATAGTCCAACCAATACATGGATAGTCTCTTCCTCAGCTAATGAAAACTCATAGTCACATATAGTAGTTTCACTGTTGTTCTTTGAAAGATAGCCTTTATCTAACTTATTTTCTTGTCTTTCTGTTTTTAACCCTTCAGAGTAATCTATTACTATGAAATCCCTTATCTAGGCTAACAGGCTGGCTGACTGACGGGACACATATAAACCTTTAAGAAACAAAGAGAAAGACAAAAATCAAAAGGTTGCACTTTGTCAGACTAATGAATGTTAGTCTGAAAAGATGCTACCAGATTCTTTCTGATTTTTGAATACCACATGACTCTCTTTGTACAAACAGAAAAACGCTCTCTGTTCTGTCAAGAGTTTTACTATGGATTGTCATGTCCCACCCTTGCCCACCCCAGTGCCACCTTGTAGCTTTCTCCCTTCTCTGAATACAGATATACCCACCCAGGAAAGCAAGCGCTGCCACTTCCTTCTGGAAGGCAAAGTGCAGTCTTTCCTGGGACTCACCTGAGGGACTTTAAGCGTCACTTACCTTTGTAGGTGAGGTAGACACGGGGCGCTCCCGTCAGGCTGCTGTGGCCCAAACAGCAGCAGGAGAACAACAGCCCCAACAGGAGCAACGTTGCCCAGGGCACCATGGCGGGGGAAGTCCTGCAGGCACCTACGAGAAGAGAAAGGGTGATGCCCAGCTGGACCTCTCCAGAAGGGCTTGCAGCGACAGGGGATGTTGGAGGCAGAGACGCCCCGTTGCTGCAGGGAAGCGGTGGACGGGCCGGGGCCTAGAGGGCGCTGTGCGGAAGTAACCAAGATCAAAGTTCCCTTCCTCGCCCGTCCCACCGGGCCCCGGGCCAAGCAGCTGTAACCCGAGTGGCGGCCGCGGCTGATGGGCACTTCAAAGGCTCGCTCTCTCCCGGCCGGCTCCTGTAGCTCCCCCGCCCTTCCTGCAGGCCAGCAGACCTTTGAAGTCGGGGCTAGAGAACGGGAGACCCTAGATGGGCTCTCCTCCCCCCTTCCCCCCCAAAAAAGAAAAATGGGGAAAAAAGGCAGACTACCTTACCGGGCTCCGCCTGCATCGCTTAGAGCCCCCACTCCTTTGGAAAGAGCGACCCCTGCCGGGGTCCGACACACCCGCGCTCAAATATAGGTAGAGACCCAGAGCGGGGAGGATCCTTTAATCTTGGGACGGCCCCCTTCATTCTGAAGAGGGCACCGAGGCTCGAGCTGCCATTCTGGACGCAGGCTTGGGCTTTGCGGTGGCCTCCTGACGCCATCACTCTCAGTACAAGGGACGCAGGAACGGCAGCAATCCCTCTCCGCGCCCCAGCCGGGCTATAATCTTCCCCATGCCACAGAACAGGTGCCCGGGGACAATGCCAGCAGCAAGTCCCCCCAGCATCAGCGCAGCTCCGGGACTTGGTGCCAGCAGGGCCCGCCGGGGGCTTTGATCTGCCTGCCAGCCCCGCTTCTTCCTCTCTCACCCCCTCCGCCCCGGAGTGTGTGCGTGCGTGCGTCTGTCTGTGTCTCGACGCGCTTCGTCCTGTCCTGTCTGCGACGTGCTGCGACCTGCCGCTTCCATACCTGAGCCAGGTGCAGCGAAGGGAGCAGCGCAGGCTGGGACATGGAGTCCCAACTGGCCCCCGTCGATTGCCATCCATCCTTAGGCGCTCAAAGCCGCGACCGTCTGCCCAGCTCAGACCCTTCGCCAAGCTACCGCTCGCTCGCTCGCTCGCTCGCTCGCACCGGCGCTCTTCCCACCCTGGGAGGAGAACACAAAGCCGAGCTCCGCGCCCGAGGGCGACCGCGACGCCCTCCTCGACTCGCTCCAGCCCAAACAGCTAACTTCGGGGCCGGGATTCTCCTGCTCAGCTCAGCAGCTGGCAGCATCTCCGCCAAAATCGTCGGCGATCCCGGAGGCAGGCTTGACCGCGGACCGCAAAGCCCCACTGAAGTCTTGCCAGGCGTCTTGCCGGCTCACCGTGAAGAGGGCAGGGTTAAAACCGAAGCCGAAGCGGCTCCCACGGTGGCACCACCGGCAGCTTCACAAAGGGCCCGGGAAATCTAGGATAGGCTGCGCCTACAGGCAAACCGGGAAAGTTGGGGGGTGGGGGCGGCAGAAATAAGAGGGTAGCAAGATCACTGCAGCGGCCACGAGAGTCTGGAGCTGAGGTCGAGCGGCTTAAGAGCCCGGAGAGGGCAGGAGCAAAGAGATCCCTTACCCCGCGTTAGCTCTCCGCTCCGGGTTTAGCTCCAGCCAGCTCTTCTTTCCTTCCCTCGGCTGTGCCCAGGAAAGTTTCTCCGGGATGTTCTTCCACTCCAGCGGGACAAGCGGCTGTGAGGAGGGAGGGACATGTCTGCCTCCCCTCCGCCCCCCGCGATCCGGGCTTTATACCTCTGCGAAGGGACCCGGGGCACGGCGTTTCCCACAGGACAGGCTTGCAAGCTCCGTGCTTCCCCGGAGCAGATAAGCACACCCTGCCTCCCCCGAGACGTGCTGGGACGGCTTAACCCCTTCGCGGCGCAACTCCTCCTAGAGCCAGGAAAGAAGGCTGGCTGCGGGGGGCGGGTGGGGGGAGCCCCTCTCCCTCCCCGCTCCCTCCAGGATTCAAGGGGGAGACCGGCCTCCGGGCGAGGGACGGGGAACAGGAGGCGAG